TCCTCCTCCTCCTCCTCCTTCTTTAAATGTATTTGATACAGGATCTCACTAAGCAGCTAAGACTTATAGTAGTCCTCCTGCTTTCAGCCTCTCTAGTGCTGGGATTATAGGTGTGCACCACCACGCCCTGGCTTAGTCACTGGCTCAACATGCCCCAGGGACAGGGCTGGCCTGGCATGTAGGACTAGGGATCGAACACTGGTCCTGGCGCTTGCCAAAGCAGGCACTTAGTCTGCTGAGCTATCTCACCAGCCCTTAAGAGTGTTTTCTGAACATATCTGTGTATCCTTAGTTTTCACCAGGGCATGGGGAATATAAGATATCTAAGACAAGAAAGAAAAAGCAGATTTCTTTTTTACTTTTTCTTCTTAATGTTGGAGCAAAGCAGTGGTTATATATTTCATTCACTATTTGTCAGCTCAGTTTTCTTTTCTTTTTTTCTTTTTTTTTCTTATTTTGGTATCAGGAATCAAACTCAGCACCTTGTGCTTGCCAGGCAGGTGCTGTGCCACTGAGCGACCCCTGGCTCCTGTCAGCTCAGTTATGACTCAGGCACTTTGTGGATGAAAATCAGTGGAGCTGGAGGAGGGCACTGTGCCTTGTTTGCTCCGGTATCTCCAGTGGTGTTTTTGGATCATCACAGGAACTCAGTGAAAGTTTGTTGAGTAAGTGGGGAGGCAGCTCTTAGTGCTTTTGAGTTTACAGTGGCTCCCATAGGCTCTAGAAGCAGCGTTTGTGTATTACGCTGCTCTGATTTGTGGTTCATAGTTGATTGATTCAGGGGGAGGAGTAGACCCAAGCCTGCCAGTTGGATGGTTTCTTTTGCTAATTTTTAACTGTGTTTAGGAAATTGAGATATTGAAGATCACTGGCTGTGTCATTTTAATGGTTCAGTTCCCAAGAGCATCCATGGTTCCTTCCCTTCCTGAAGTTCAGGTCCTCCTGGCGCTACCAAAGGACCTTGCCAAATATTGTCTATTTTGTTTAAGCCATGCTGCTTTTCTTTAGCAACATAAAAACACATCCTTTTATGAACTTTCAGCTTATAAAATCTGTATTTTACTTGAGGAACCAATCAAAATAATCAAGCCAAGACACATTTATTTTCCTTGACACCAGAAGGCAGAGCTAGCAGTCCTGTGGGATCAGCCTGTCCTGAGTATCACACTTTCATTGCTCTCTTGCATATTTTAAAAAATTGACATATGTTTGTGATGCATGAAAATCACATTCATTTTGGAGAATTGGTACATATGCTGTAATATCCTAAGCATTTTTACTTCCGCTTTCCCTTTTCACCCTCCTTCTCCCCACATCCTCAGGTCCCCTTCCCACGCATCTGGCATCTTAAGAGACATTAAAATAATTTGCTATTTATTTATTTATTTATTTACAGGGAATTGAACTCAGGACCTTACACTTGCCGCACAGGTGCAGTGCTGCTGAGCTACATCTCCTGCCCAAGATGCATTAAAATAGCATTACTCATTCCATTATGTCTTGTTAGTTCACAAACAATAAGAGTATTTAAAGTTTCAGTAACAAGAGAAGCTCAATTATAGAACAAAACATTGAATTAATAAAAAATTGTAAAGTTATGATCCGCGATGCAGAATCAACTCATAGATGGAATGTAGAGATGGAATGAATTCATCAACTGCATAGAAGAATTTTGTAGAAGATAAATTGCGCACAGATGCAAGCTATTGTACCTCTATGTGTCTGTTAAGATTTAGTCACAGAAACCCCCAAACGCCAGTCATTTTAAACAGAAATCTCAGTAGGCAGATTTAGGTGCTCACGAAGCCCCTAGAAGCTGGTCGTGGAATGTATCCCAGGACGATTTCCGGAGTGATTTCAGCAAACTGACATGACAGATTCTGCTGCTTCTTCCTAAATCAGTAAACTAGAGGAACCAGGTACTGGACCTGTGAGCTCACAGACACACCCTGGAGCTGTCACATGAGAGTATTTTGAACTGTCTCTTGCCCCATGGGCTAGTGACCAGATGTTGAAATTTGTAGCAGAAAAACTCAGCTGAATTCAAGGATTTAATTTCTCTCATAATTTAGAACTATTGTGTTTTCAATTTCTTTGTGGATCATATTAAACAGTTGTTTATTCTTCTAAATGTAATATATGACATAAAATTGTTCATAATTTTTTCTTTAATCTTTTTAGCTTCTAGAGAGTTGTAATAATGACTACAAATGTTATTCCTTTTTTTTTGCGGAACTGGGGATTGAACTCAAGCCCTTGTGCTTGGCAGGCAAGTGCTTATTCTACTGAGCCATCTCCCTGGCTGCCTTCCAAATTTTATTCCTTATATGGATATGTTTTCTATTTTTCTTGGTCTTTGTTATTTTGTGGAAAAAGGTAAAACAAGTTTCATAACAAAATACTGAGAGAATAACAATAGTTAATTCATTGGATTTTTGTTATCTTTAAAGTATTTAGTTATTCAGAGCACAAGATATGGATATTAACATTTCTCTAATTGATATTAACACAAACCTTCCTTTTTAATGAGCTAAGGGACACTAGGAGAACAGCTGACTTATTTTTCCCTCTCTTTTTCTCTTTCATCCTTTCTCCTTTCCCACATCTGAGATCTTTTCGAACATTTTTTGCCATTTCACAAAATCTATTGCATATTTTAGACCTTATTTATTTGTTTATTTATTCATTTATTTATTTTTGTGTGGTACCAGGGATTGAACTCAGGACCTTGCACTTGCCAGGCAAACACTTATTCCACTGAGCTATCTCTCTGGCCCCTAGACCTTATTTATTCTTTCAGTCTCTCACAACAGGAAGGCAATACTATGTGAGTCCAATTTATTTCATTTTTCAACATGGTGTCAAGTTGCATTTATCTACCTATAAAAGTTTAAAATTTATCCTTCATTATGGCTGAGTCGTACTCCATTGTATAAAAACATCACATCTTTTTTTAAAGCCATTTCTCCATTGATGGGTGTTTGGGTTGTATCTCAGCTTACTGTTTTCTTGTTGCTGGGACAAAATGCCTGACACCCAAAATGAAGGACAAAAAGGCTCAGTTAGTGGAGGTTTCAACATACTCAGCTGGCTCCAAGGCAGAGTGGCACATGGCAGAGAGCAGCCATTCTTGGCTAAGCCAAAGAGCAAGAGCAGCAGCTCCAGCAGCTAGCTGGCTTCTCTCCCCTCCTCACACTGTGATGCAGAGCATCTGCCCCAGGGCACTCACACCCATAATCCCAGCATTAATCAATCACAAGCTCCAGATGCCACTCCATGACTACGTGAGGCTTTGGGGGGTTCAACTAGAAACGAACTGTAACAGGCTGTTTTCAAGATTTAGCTATTACACATTGTGCAGCTATAAACACGGGCGCACATACATCACTGTGGTATGATGTTTTTAAATTCCTCTCAGAAGATACTCAGAAAGGGAATAGTTGAGTAGAATGGGACCTCTAATCCTAGCTTTTTTTTTCTTTTTGAGACAGGATCTCGCTATGCAGCTTAGGCTGGCCTTGAGCTCACTTTGTAGCCCAAGCTGGTCTTGAACTCACAACGGTTCATCCTCCTACCTGAGTCTCCCAACTACTGGGATTACAGGCATGTGTCACTATGCCCAGCTTAATTCTAGACTTTTGAGAAATCCCCATATTGATTTCCACAGAGGTTGTGCCAGTCTATACTCCCACCACCAGTGGAGAAGTGTTCCTTTTTCCCGACAGCCCTTCCAGCATTTGTTATTGGTTGAATTGTTGATAAAAGTCATTCTTTCTGAGGTGAGATGAAATCTGTGTTGTTTTAATTTGAATTTCTCAAATGACCATTGGTGTTGAATATTTTTCATATATTTATATGCCATTTGTACTTCTTCATCTGAGAAATGTGTATTCATTTCAGATCCCCATTCTTTGATTGGGTCTTTAAATTTGGGGGTGTCTGATTTTTTTTCAATTCTTTGTGAGTTCTAGATAAAAGTCATCTGAGGGACAATTGGCTAAAAACTTTTCCCACTCTGTGGGTTTTCTCTTCATTCTGTTGATGATTTTTTTTTTTTTTTTGTGGAACCGAGATTGAACTCAGATCCTTGCATTTGCCAGTCAAGCGCTTATCCTACTGAGCCAACTCTCTGGCCCCCTGTTGATGATTTCTTGATGTGCAAAAGCTTTTTAATGAGATTAGATCCCATATATTTATCAATGTATTTGGTATTATTTAGATAGCTGATTCATTTTGACTTTGCTACACAGCTCGGACTTGTAGTGATCCTCCTGTCTGCAGCCTCCCTAGCACTGGGATTACAAGCGTGCACCACCATACCTGGTCTCAGTGACTGGCTCAATGCACCTGGGGGTGGGGCCAGTGCCACTTGTGGTGCCGGGGATCGAACCCTGGTCCCAGCGCTTTCCTAAGCAGACCACTGCTCAGACCACTGAGGAGATCCCATTTATGGATTCTTTGAATTATTTCCCATACAGTCTGGGTTCTGTTTATAAATTCTTTGCCTACTTCTATGTCTTCAAGATTTCTACCTATTTTCTCTTCTGGTAGATTTGGTGTTTCTGCTTTAATATTTAGATATTTGATTCACTTTGACTTTAGTGCATGGTGGTTGACATGGGTCTAGTTTTAATTTTCTTTTTTTTTTTTTGAGGAAGGAGGGATTGAACTTAGGCCCTTGCGCTTGCTAGGCAAGTGCTTATTCTACTGAACCATCTCCCTGGACCCTTAGTTTTAAATTTACACATGTGGTAAGTCAGTTTTTCTAGCACCACTTATTAAAGAGGCTATATTTTCTTCCTGTGAACATGTTTGGCCCCTTTGTCAAAGATAAGGTGGCTGAGTGTGTTTAGAGTTGTGTCTGCATCTTCTAATCTGTGCCACTGATCCTCAGGTCTGTTTTCTTTTTCTTTCCTAGTTCCATGCTGATTTTATCACAGTAGCTTTGGAGTATAATTTCTTTTTTCTTCTCTCTCTCTCTCTTTTTTTTTTTTTTTTTTGTGGTACCGGGGATTGAACTCAGGACCCTGAGCTTGCCAGGCAAGCACTTATTCTACTGAGCTATCTCCCCAGCCCTTTGTAGTATAATTTCAAGTCAGGGATTGTGATGCCTCCTGCCTTGTCTTTGTTGCGTAGGACTACCTTTGTTATTCTAGGTCTCTTCTGTTTCCAAATGAATTTTAGGATTGTTTTCTCTATTTCTATAGGTATGCGAATGGTATTTTGTTCCTAGTCATTCTTGTGAGAGATTTATCAATTCCGTTAGTCTTTTTCTAGAATCAAATTTGTTTTAGTTGGTCTCTATTATTTTTCATATTATTGTTATTATTATTTGATCCCAGCTTTATCTTCAGTTCTACTTCTTTTTACTTAACTCTGTTTTGACCTAATTTATTTTGTGCTGTCATCTGGTGAATGTTCAGATTTTCTTCATTGTACCATAAAGACTCTAATTTTCCCTTTGTATATGTTTTAGTTACATTTCCTAAATTTTGATACATAATAGTTTTATGATAATTATTCACTTAAAAGTATTTTAGATTTTCCCCAATTTTATTGGTCCATTTCCTGAGCTATGAATTAGTTTCATTTCTGTTACCCACAGTGCCTGGACTGGCCAGCAGCTTCCTGAGAACTTGTTAGAAATTCAGAATCTCAATCCATCCCAGGATTGACAAGTCATATTCTGCCTCTCACAAGATCCCAGGTAATTTGTTTGCCCTTCAATATTTGAGAAACATTCAGTGGATGGAGAAATGGGTTTCTTGTCTGAATATGCTGGGATTTTTCAGTTCAGCTTTTGTTATGAATTTAAAAAAAATTACATTTAGAATGTTATGTTACAATTTTTAATATTTGTTGAGACTGCTTTATTTAACAAAAATTTCTAATTTATTTTTAAAAATAACAAATACAGGGCTGGTGAGATGGCTCAGTGGCCTAAAGCACCTACTTAGAACAAGCTTAGCAAAGCACAGGGACCGCGGTTCAATCCCCCAGCACCACATGCCAGCCCCCCTGCGCCCGCCCCCCCCCCCCTGTGGGCTGAGCTGGCCACACACGCGCACACACACACACACACACACACACACAAATAAATAAATAAAATTAAAAAAATAACAAATACAAGTGTCATATTGGAATAAGGATTTTTTTTCTTTTTTTTTTGCTCCTCGAATGCCTTCAGGGCACTTTTGGCTGGCTGGAGGGTTGTGGGGATCGAACTACAACAACCTGAGGCTGACAGCTTTGTGGAAGCAGCCACTTAAAGAACTGAGCTAGGGCCAGGCCCCCAACAAGTGTCATATTGATTGTGTACAACATATTGTTTTGAAAAATATAGACATTGTGGAATAGCTAGATCGAACTAATTGACATAATATGTTCTCTCACATATTGAACTTTTTCTGTGGTGAGAGTGCTTAAAATCTGCTCTTAGCCATTTTCCAGAATGTAATATTTTATTATTAACTGTAGTCAGCATGCTGTACAATAGATCTCTGAAGTTATTCCTTTCCTCTATAGAAATTTTGTAGTCTTTGACTAATGTCTTCCCCTATACCTACCTACCCCAGACCATGATAACTGTTGTTCTACCCTCTGCTTGTATGAACTTCAACATTTTTTGATATTCCACATATCACTGAGATAATTTAGCATGTGGCTTTCCCTGGCTGACTCTTGCAATTAATGTGATGGTTTCCAGGTTCATGCGTGTTGTTGAAATATTCCACACATACTTGAAAAGAACATGTGTTTTGCAGTTGTGAGGAGCATTCGTGCCCAACATCAGGAACCATTTGAAAAACGCAAATCCATCCCACAATGAAATACCACTTCATACCCATTATAATGATTACTGTCAATAAACAAAACAAATGAAAGGAAAAGGATTGCTAAGGATTGTGAGAAATTTGAAATCTTGTTGTATTGGTGGGAATGTAAAGTGGTGAAGCTTCTTATGTAAAACAGTGCACTAATTCTTTCCAAAATTAAAAATAGAATTACTATATGATCCCACAACTCCACTCCTCAGTGTGTACACAAGAAAATGAAATCATGGTCATTTTTTTTTTTTTTTT